CCCTTCCTTTAGAGCTTAGTCTAATTCTTCTATTTACCTTACCCTAAAGTGCCGTGCAGTTTCTTGCGTAGTCGTCCTGCGTGTCCTCATAATATCTTTTGTCACTCGTTGAAAAAACTAGAAATAATTGATTGTCGCCCAACGGAAAATGTTGGTAAGACAAAATAATTGTCTCCAACATCAACTATTGCGATTATTTGTCTCTGCCCGGGATTGGAGGTCGTTCTTCCAAAACGAAAACTGAATAATAATAAAAAACCTAAAAACCGCCTCCCGCATCCTCTATTCTGGCCTTCGTATCCCGCCAATTTTGTTCTTCCATTCCTCTTCTCTTTGTGTCTGTTTCCTCCTGAACTTGTATTATTCATTCCTCTGTAGGTCTTCGTCATTTCCTCCTCTATGTCAGTTGCCACTTTAAAATCTTTTTTGGTAAACGGTTATTCGATTTTTGTTGTATATGTCCGCACGAGTTAAGTCTGGCCCTCTATATGGATTCTGACATCTTGCTTCAACATTCATTTTTCGTTTTATTTCTTTGTTTGTTATTCTCTACATCCGTAATAGTTATTCTAAGAAAATCCATCTCCATACTCATATAACAATATACAATATACCTTAATAATTTATTAAATCAACATGAGAATATTATTAACTTCAACCACAATGAAGGAATGTTTCTAAAGATTGGTTTTGTTAACCAAGATTTCATTATCAGCATATCATAGATGTGTTACAATGTTCTAAAAATGTTTCTATTAAATAAAACTAAAGTATGAACTAGGTAAAAAATGGGCTGACATAGTAGACGTTAGTTATTTACCATCCATGAGGAAGATTGAGATTGATTAAAACTTAACATATCCAAGCAAGTGAAAAAAAAAAGTTTCTTGTTTTACGTTATGACTACAAATTCAACTCCTTTATTTTTTGTCACTAATGGTGTAACTTTTAATCACTAGTTGCGGAACGCTTTACTTTTCGCGGTTGGTTATGAAAAGTAAGACATGTATGAATTAAAATCTATTCACAATGAAGAAATCATTTCAACATCCCGAAACTCGGTAAATACATTCCTAAAATATTCAAATAGATGGTGAATTTTCAAAGAATAAAGGGAGTTATCGGTCAAACCTATTTTTATTTTGGTTGGTTTGATTTGAAATGACATAGCATGAAACACGAACAACATTTTGACCACCTGTGTGTTTAATTTTTTAGTCAATTTTGCTTACATAATAAGTTTCCAACAGAAATAAGGAGATTTCTATCCAGTAATTTGAACAAAGTTCGATGGGGTCTTTGTCTTTTGCGATATGGTTGTTCAGATACATTTCAGATATCGTTTTTGAAGTTTTGTCACATGAAATGTACAGTAGAGTGATCCACATGCTATCTGACCTATTAAAAAAATCAAAGTCAATATGAAAATGTTTTATTTAATATTTCGGATTTTCGAAACTATTATACAATACGAAATGAGGGAAAAATGAATGTGGAAGTAGGATGTAGATTATAGTTTTAGTTAATATCTTGAATACTTGAATTGTTAATCAACAAGTCGGTTCATCTTCTAACTATCTGCGCTCTCTGCATTTTTTGGAACTTTTTAGCAAGGATATTAGTAGTCGTTTTTGCTATGGAAATATATACTTATCGCCCTATTTTTCTTTTGCGTTATAGACGCTTTACAATGAAATAACCGCAATTCCGCAATGAAGGAATGCGAAAAATATGTCTTAGGTCATATAAGAGTTGATAAGAGCATAACTTCTTAAAAGTGCAACGACTCACTAAGTCCAAATTCGAAAGGCAATTATTGATAGGTAAGATAAAATCGCAGATTAAAAATAATATAATTTTGTGATTCCTGTACGATTTTATTTTTAATAAAATATTTGACGTAACTCACTCAATCTAATTTTGTAATTTCTATCTTTAAGCATTGCATTAAGAAGAAGATTTGAATTTGTTGAGAATGGAGCAATGGTATTTCAAAATTACTTGTAAGCAGAGATGTCATATGGATTTAATTTGGGGCCATCAACTTTATTATCTTTTGTCCCTCTACATAATAGTGTAGTATAGGTATAGAAATATATATCAAGTGTCCCAAAATATATTGTAAAATTTTTAAACTGCTAAGCAAATTTTTCATTCACAAACTGATTTCTTCCGATTTTTTTTATTTCTAGGACCCACCGTTTCCTTGCCTCGTTGATCTTACTGCCACAACCAGTATATGAATCATTATTAAATCTTACATTATGTTGACTTACATTGGATTAAATGATGGACATTATACTGTTAAAACTCTTAAAAGAGCTCTTTAAATATGTCATTTGGATGAGCAAGATGCCTAGCCGTTATAGAATACAAATGGGAACGTAAGTTGGAAAAAGCGATTCTAATAGTTACCGGATTGAACATAAATATTAAGAAAGCAATAGCTTCCCAAATATGTAATTTGATAGAGTAATATTTACTTCACGAGAAGTAATTAACATACTTCCAATTAGTGGCAAATATGCGGCCCTCGTGACTGACTGAAGCAGATAAACCGAATTAGTTCTGCCGCCGGCACCACAGGCCCATCATGATACCAATTGTATCCTCCCACGTAATTGGCGGTTTGCATATTTTGATTTAAGAAAAACCGAATCCGAAACTAATTGATCGAATAAATTTAGATAACATTGAAAACTTACTCGGGTGAGTTCCAGCAACATGCTGAATTAAATATGAACGCCATTAATGTTGAAGGACCGGAAACGCTGTTATTTTTGCTGATGTGTATTTTAAGCATGAGTAAACTTTGATAGGTAAAGTCAGAAGCAGTCTTATTGTGTGGTTCACAGGTCAATGATTTGAATGAAATTAAAAAACATAGGAAAAATAAAAGTGTAAATAGTTTTACATATTTACGTAATTGATATAGATATAGAAAATCGCGCCTTTAAGAGCAAGAAACTGCCATTTAATGAAACTAAAATCTTAAGAACCACTTGGTCTACTTCAAAACGCTACGAAAAATTTCTTTTTTTCTTCCATTTTGAAACTTTTTTTCCTTAAAAACAGTTTTAGTAGTCAATTAATAATCGTATTAATAATCAGGTGAATGTATCGATCTAGAGTCTAGAGAACCTGTACAATCTACAAATATTCTGACTATCTTGAATAATTGCATATAAACAAAAAAAAAACACAATCAGCTTGTGCTCGATGCAAAAGAAGATTATCACAAAGATAGAATAAATAAAAGTTTCGAATTAGAATCAAGAACGACTCGTCTGAGTTATTTATGCCATATAGCTATTAGTTTATATACTGGCCCCCTACTACGATAAAGGTTATGATTTTCCGCGTAAGCCTCTACATTTCATGTTGAATCAACCTTCTCAACATTTTTTTATAGTTGCTTCATTAGTTTCTGTTGGGCCTCTATATCTCTAGTAGCTATAGGATTTATGCCATTCTTCCAGAGTGCAACTTACAGGGACCTGTAGAAGCTCAAGGTCCCCAGAAGTGGAGTCTCGCGCTTTGTCTTGACGGGTAGCATTGATTTGAACTTGAACTACATCTATTAAAGAACAAAGTTAATATTAAAAGATATGACAGGTTACGAAAGGAATGCATCAGGATTCCGTCCCGAGGCCGCTTTATTATCTACTTAAATAGTATTTTTTAAAGTCTCGTCTGGCTGTAAAGTTAGCAGACGTTGGAGGTTATGTTTTATATTTAGGAGATGATAAACAACTGGAAGCAAACCTAAATGCAAATCTTGGTAATTTATTCAAGCGATTCTGCCAAAATTCTTTGTACCTAAACACGACTAAAACAAATTATATCCGTTCCCATAACTCACAACAAAGAAAGGAAGTTTCTCTTAATATAAAAATTCCTGAAGAGAGATTCTTAAGGGTGGATAGCACAAAGTTCCTTCCAATTATAGTAGACCCAAACCTAAATTGGAAAACCAATATATATATATATAACAATTAATCGCCAAAAACGAAGTCATCCTGTTTGGTTGAACATGTCTGTATTCCTTATTAGCTCCGTGTTATATGGGTTATTGCTATTTTTTGTCATGTTTGACTTTTTCCATACATTGTAATGTCCGACGGAAATAAAAGTCATTCTTATTGTACTTGTTGTATTATTTTGCGATTTTGTCGGCTTGACAGCCGAGTTGACAGCACTATTGAAATTCACACCGTGTGTCCGTTAAAATGAGGGAAGTCACTGGGATTTAAATAGAGCACGAAAACAATTTCCAATATATTTTTTCCTACACGACCTCCCTAAAGTGTTAAATTCATGTTAATTTATTATTAAAATGGTGTTTTCTCGTACAAATTTAAAATAAAATTGCTTATTATTTTTAGTAATTTAAATGAAATTATTTTTAAATTCTGTTTAATTTTTCAAAAAAAAAGTTTATTTGTTCGATACAAAAAAAAATCTTTTTGGGTCTTTTATATATATATATATATATATATATATATATATATATATATATATATATATATATATATATATATATATATATATATATATATATATATATATATATATATATATATATATATATATATATATATATATATATATATATATATATATATATATATATATATATATATATATATATATATATATATGAAGAAACATTTTCCAGCTGTACTCTTTAGGGGCCTTGTCATATTTTTCGTGTTGTATCTATCTTTCATATATTCTAGTATTTCTATTCAATTTAGATTCCGGATTTCATTTGGAGGATGCGGTTAACGAAAGAAAAAGAAACTTGAGACATTGCGATTGATAACTCGCAGGACCCACAAGATATAATGTAAGCCGACACTGCATAAGCGAAAATTTCAAAACTTATTTATTTGCGATATTTTTTTAAATTTAGTTGCCGTTCTGATATTGCGGGATCTGATAATAATATGTCGTCACTATAGCAAACAAATTCGATTATCTAGTGAAGATAAGTTAATTCAAAGTGTTATTGATTGCTGTTAACCGTTTGTCGTAGAAACTAAATAATTAGACTGCACAAATGAACCAGCTCGTAAAATGACGTCCGCAGATACGTATAATCTTAATAATGGCCTCAAAATACCTGCACTTGGTTTAGGAACTTTTACGGTAAGTAAAGGATTCTTGAGGAATTACTTTGCTGGAAGCTAAGCGCTAAATACTAAATAAATAATTTATGTCCAAATAATTTACAATATTTTTTTTTCGTACTTTCCTGCATAAAAATTATAAAGTTATAAACTCACATTATAATATTAAATCTTTATACTTTAAAAACAACTTCAAATTCTGTCCCTGATGCTCTGTCTGATGCAGGTTATTTCGATAATTGCAGTCATATGCCACCTTCTTATTATAGGTCACAGACGAAAAGCTTCTAGAAACTGCTATAGATACCGCTTTGGAAGTCGGATATCGCCATATAGATACCGCATATATCTACAGGAATGAACACATTATCGGGAAAACTCTTAAAAAATGGTTTGATTCGGGAAAGTTAAAAAGGGACCAGGTTTTCGTCACTACGAAATTATCATCTGACGGAGTTCACCCTGAAAGGTAAGGCAATTATTTTTTAGTATTATGTACTTCGTTATATTCTCGATTAAAGCTTATTACGAAAGTAGTATACTTAAGCGTCTTAACCACTCTCTCAATTAAGACTTCTGCTTCTACCCGAAATGAATTTAACAATAATTAATAATGGCAAGAAGCCTCAGAAATAATTTTAATTTATGATAATTTGTGATGAGTTATACCGATATACCTATTTTTAGGCTTGAAAACCAATTGAAAGAATCGTTAAAAAATCTTCAGCTAGAGTACGTTGACTTGTACTTAATTCACTTCCCAATTGGCACGAAACCTAGAGCACCGGGCGATACTGCAACCGATATTATCGCTGAACCGACTGATCACATATCCATTTGGAAAATAATGGAGAAACAGGTGGAAGATGGCCGTACAAAATCAATAGGCGTCTCCAACTTCAACGAAAAACAAATTGAGAATATTTTGAAGAACGCGAAAATAAAGCCCGCGTGTAACCAGGTTGAAGTCCATGTTTATCTGCCTCAAAATTCACTGGTCAAATTTTGTCAAGATAACGGAATAGTTGTTATTGCATATTCGCCCCTAGGAAATCCAGGAATTAATGAATTTAGGGCAAAGCTAGGGAGACCGTAAGTGTTGTTTTAAAAATATGTGTCATGTTGTTCCTTATAATCATTCCATTCCAGACCGCAATCTCTTCCAGATATGCTGAATGATACACTGATAAAACAGATTGCAGAAAAGCACAAAAAGAGTGCTGCACAGGTCATGCTTAAATTTCTACTTCAAAGAAAGATCGCTGTTATACCTAAAAGTATCACGCCGAGTAGAATTAAAGAAAATTTTGACTTGTTCAACTTTAGTCTGGATGATAGCGATCTCAAACTGCTGGATAGTTTGAAGGTTGGAGAAAAGGCCAGAGTTTGCAACTTCAGTAATCTCCACGGGTATGTTTACTAAGTAAGCTAATATTTAATAATTTTCTGTTTATCTTAAATTTAAGGTTCAAAAATCACCCCGAATGGCCTTTTCCGTCCGAAGAGTAATTTGTACTAAAGTATATCATTTTTTGTAAACTTACAAATAAAATATGTGAACTAATTTAATTATTTATTTTATATTCAATAAAAAAATTGTAAGCTTCAAAGAATTAGTAACAGCAGCACTTTTAAATCTTGCAGGTATGTCGTATACTTGTATCGTTACTAATTTAACTATTCCTAAAATTTACACAATCCTAAACTACCTCTTACAATAACGAATATCGAGCAACTGTATTACTATTTATGAGTTCAATGACGAAACCGTAAGAAGCTATCGGTGGGGAGCCGAAATAAAGTAACCCTGACTTGGATATCTGGTCACAGTGACCTGGAGTTAAACGTAAAAGCAAACCTTCTGTCACAAAATGGGACACAAACCAGGAGCCAGCCGACATTGGCCACAAGTACCAGAACTAGTCCACTCCAAAACATTAATAGAAGGTCCCGCTTAAGCTCCCTGTTAAGCATCAGTAGGAGGAACCTGAAAACCATGAGCGTGATATAGGCAGGACACCACAACTTCAAACACCACATGTACAAAATGGCCCTTTCGGATAACGATGAGCGCAAGATATGCATGGAGGATAAGAAAACGACAGAACATTATTGCGTTGATGCTCGGCAGTAGGAAGGATTAGGTACTCAAAAGTAGGAGCTGACATCCAAGAACTTGACCCCACAAAACAGACTTAATACGAGTGCTGAACGATTGGTAGCAGGAAGACGTCGCCAAGACGGTCATACATAATAACCAAAACCTAGACCTAACCCCACACAAAAAAACCTCTGGTTCTCTAGATGCATATAGGTAGTCAATATAACGTTATGCAGATATGCATGGAGTATCAATGAATATATAATGAATTAGTTTTTCCTCGAATTGGAAAGTGGCCTGAATGTTAATCTTTGGTGTGTATGTAACTCTTATTAATATTGACACTCCTTGTGGGCACAGGGGACAGTTTACCGGACGGTGATAGGAATCATTTTCTCAATTGTATGGTTGTTAGTATTTCCGACTATTTTTTTCTAATTATGTTATTCCAAATGGCACGGTAGCGTTCATGATAATCGAGTTCTATCAAATACCAATTTTTCGCCGTCATGCAAGATTAGATGCCCATTTCTAGCATAGCAGACATGTCGGTCTCCCGCTACTGTAACATACTCCTATATACTCAGTCTATCACATTTAGCTCTAGAATAAGGTGTGTTATGTTAGTAAGCTCTTGATGTTGCTATATGATATTTGCGGTTTCAAATTTCTTATTAATTCTCGTGCGCTTATAATTAGGACCTTCAATAATTGACTTTAAATGGTTGATTTTCTCGTTATCTGATTGCCGTTGCGTAACCTAAATGGAGCCTCTTCAGAGTTTCTTGAAGTCTTCAGTGCCTGCGACTTCAGTGCTGCGACATATTATTTCACTGCACCAGCTGTCCCTTACGCCTTAATTTACCACAGAGAGTTCAAATTTAGTGTTATATTTACGCTAAACCGCAAATATTTTGCCTCAGTTGAAAAACTCATTTCAGCATGTAAGAACGGAGGTACCAGTTTGTCCAGTCAGTTCTCTCCTACTATCGTTTTTCGACCGTTTTTGGCTTCCCCAAGGCAAAATTTGTCGATATTATTTGGTGTGAGTATTGGTGAGCATGGAGCATCAAAAGGTTCTTAACCTTAACCCCTCCCCACGCCATGTTTTCTTCATGTTTTCTAACACAATTGAATCAGGATCTGGAATAGCGTGCAAGCGGTATAGCGGACAAGTTAGAATATAGTTGTATGGAAGTACGGAAGCAGTATGTCCAGTTCGTTGTGTCACATAGCTGGATAAAAATTGCAAAAATTTGGCTTCATCATTTTTTTGACAGTTCCCCAGTCGGTTACTTTGAATCTTGGCTCTTGCTGTTTGGGGCACAAAGAGCATATGTGTCAAGAGTCGGGCTTTCTGGGAAGTGGTTTGTTTCTAACTAAAATTGATTTTCTCGAGGCTGTGTAGCGCGCAAGATTTCTGAGGTTCCCACAAAGAACCTTTTCTAGCAGTGCTCCTCTTTTCGCCCTTTAAATCTTTTTATTGTTATTTGTTAGAGCTGTCAATAGTTTACAGTTTTCGCGGTATTTTGAAATCAACGAGTTCCCCCCAAGGTGGGTCCGATTGTCAAGTATATTTTTATTGATGTTTCTTATTCATCTCAGTCTCATCCTCAGATCCCGATGAAGTTGGTGGTTTGCTAACTGCTCGAGTCTTCGGACGTACGCGGAACTGTGCGAAACCGAAGAATCGTCTGGAGCTCAGCTGTCCCAGTGCCTTAGTGGAAGCTTCGTAAATGTATATTCTGGCCCTGCAATTTCATAGAGCAGAGTGCATTTCCAGATCCAGAAAACTTAATGAACGAACGAACGATTAACTATTTTTGATAAGTGTGTTTAAAATATATTACTAAAATCTGTCGATAATATAATTTGCTAAAATTAAAATAACTGTATATAGGTTGTTTAAAAATAAGAGACCCAGTTGTATATATTATTCTTTAATGATCATTTTCCAGGGATTCCACCGATTTCCTGTTATCAGTTTTAAAATTAAGTAATAACAATTATTCAAAATCGTCTTGGAATTTATTCAAATTTCTGCAAATTCAAATTATTACAGAGCTTTGTGTTAGTATCAAAATTCAAACAAGTTATGTCAAATTGTAGAATCAAACTCCAAGGAGAAACGTTTTAGCCTGGTCCAACAGATGTTTCACAGTAAAACGGTAAACGTTAAATTTTTTACCATGGAAATATTAACGGAACAGTTTGCTCTTGCCGATGAAAATTATAACAAGCCGCAAGTAAAAAAAAAAAAACTGGTAAGAGGGATTAAACGCAAAAGTTTTACACACTATTGGCTTCAAATGGCATCATAAACCCGAGCGAGTCGTGCACTGAAATGATGTCATTTAATCGACTCTACCGGATTTGTTCTGATAAAACAAGCACTCAAGGTCGCGAAGTTGCTGCACGTTGCTACATTGACCTCTTTTCGGAATTGCCATAAATAAGAAAAAATTTAATAGTTTTATCAAAATCAATTGTATCCATTGTTGTAACGAGATAAAAGTGTAATTGCTAGCCTTATCACTTGCCTAATCTACGAATTTCTTAATCTTTGACAAGGTGAATGTACCCTTAGACCCTTATAAATACTACATTTGGCAGTGTTTAATATTCAGGTTATCAATTGTTACCCAATTAGTGACGGTAAATGCAGCAGAGCAAGCACAATAAAAAATGAACTGCCAAAGTGTCACCTTGAATGGAAGATTTAAAATGCCAATCGTAGGATTCGGTTCCGGCGGGGTAAGTACATGGAGAATATTTTGTAATTTTAGTCAATGATACCGTGCCATTTTGAGCGTAAAATGTCAATAAACCCTTGTCTATGAACAAATCTGTCCATTCTGAATTGGAAAATATAAGGTTTGGAAAAATTCTCTCAAACTGTTTTCCTTTCCCAAATAAAATTAATTTTCAAATTTTGGACCACGGTCTATATATATCTTTTGACGAGAAAGCCGAATCAGAGCCTGAGACACCTGTGTCAAAGGTACGACACCATCTTACTTTAGGGCATCCCTGTATCTTTATATATCAATGGACAGATCATTTAATTAAGAATATAATAGAAGATCTCACTTGTGACTTCAAAATATCTACATATTAACGACGACCATGGGTGTTAATTTTTAAATTTGGAATAGAATAGCATGTTTAGTAGTGAAAAGTGAGCGTTGTATTGTGCCTTTAAAATTAGAACAGTGATTATCCTTTTATGTCTCTAATTCGACTTTCTTGTCAACAGTTATATATAAATAACAAATCAAGTAGATTCTATTTCGAGTAAGACTCCTTGCAATGGTTTTCAACTATCGATGAACCAATACCTCTGAATATAATAATAATAATAATAATAATAATAATAATAATAATAATAATAATAATAATAATAATAATAATAATAATAATAATATAACCTAACATTGTGGCAACTTTATAAGGTGGATAACCAGATAAGCTTAAAAAATCAATTATACATAAAAGAAAAAACAAAAACAAAATAACAAATAAATCTCTATATTATTTTTAAAGCTACTGAGACCTTCTAAGGTACTCGGTACTTTGTTATGTGGACATGGTAAAAACATGATCTTTCATCTAGTGCCATTCTGAACAAGCATATTTTTTGTGCATGGTTTAAATCCAAGTTATAGGGCATCATGGCTGAGTTTTATATTTTGGTATATAAACTAACCAACCAAGCTTTCCCACAACAGTTTTTTCATTCTAATATTAATTAGATTACGGTGCATATACATGCGTGCAAGCTTTTTATCCAATTGTCAATATGTTTTGTAAATTTTGATTCACCGCTATATCAAAATTCCTAGCATTGTTGGAAATATCCAGTTTTTCTGTACCTACAGTATTGTTTTCATTTATATATGTATGTGTGTATTGTTTTTTGCTATTTGCCAGAAGTGACTAAAACTTTGTACTTTTGAATTAAAAGTGGAAAGATTTGTCCGGAAAATACGTGTTCTGTAAAAGCCAATAACAAATATAGTGTCGTATCTTGAATATTTGGTAGCTGTCGATCTAAGCTCTACTTTCAAAAGTCGCATACAAAACGTCTTTTTAAATTTAAAAATAGCAAATAGATAATATTCTACTATTAGTGAGGTGCCTAAAATGTGACCCTTAACCCCACTAACTAGTTAGTAGCACAGGATGGATCTCGTAAACCAGCCATTTTAGATTTTTTGGTGAATATCAGACTAAAGCGTCAAATTGAATAAAATTCAAGATTATTAAAATGTTTATGTTAGGTTATATTTATTTTAAATAACTTTTATGTAGATAATAACGGCAGAACTAATGGAAGAAACTCTAAATACTGCGCTTGAGGCAGGATATAGGCACATTGATACCGCAACTGCTTATGAAAATGAGCATCTCATTGGTCCGGTACTTCAAAAGTGGTTTTCTTCCGGCAAGCTGAATCGAGAAGATATCTTTATTACCACGAAACTACCTAACTATAAGCTTCAACCAGAAAAGTGCGTAAAAATCAGTTGTTATGATAATAGTCTTATTAACTTAGTATAGAAATAAAAAATAAACTAGTTCTAAACTCACTCCAACGATTAGCAATGATTAGTACTTTTATAAACAGGATGCCCTGTATATTATGACATTTTTAGATTCATTGGAAATTCTGAAAAATTCTAATTGAATGTCAATAATTAAGAGGCGATTTCTGGTTCCATTTTAAAATGAAAGCTTCATATGAACATATGTCCTAAACGTCTTAACTTTTGAGATACAAAGTGATAAAGTTTTCAAAAATAGCACTAGATATTTTAATGAAATTTGGAACTCTACTATCAAGAGGCATTATTTAGACCACAATTTTTTTAGAATACACCAGTGGCGTCGTACGGATCTTCACATTCCTGTTTTGGCAGACATTAATAGTACGCCACTGATTTCTCATAAAACAAAAATTATTCTGTCAATCTCCAATCGTTTCTCAAGAAATTTAATTTTTTGATTTTTTTCAACCCGATGTAGCGTTCCCGCTTAAAAATTAAAAACCTTCTTTTCTGCATAATTATATCTTACTTAAGTACTTGTGTTATTAAAATACCTCAAAAAATCGAAGTACGAATACGAAGTACGTAAAAATGAATATAATAAATTTAAATAAGAATCGTTTATTATTTATCGTGTTGTTACGATGTTGTTATTTCATTAAAACTGTAAAAGGAAAAAGTAGAGTCTTCCATTTTTTTAAAGGGTGCTAGTTGGTAAATAAAAACGAGATATTTTGCCTTAGATAGATATTTTATTTTTCATAAAAACTTCTCGATTTAACCAGTGCAGTGGCGACGAAATTAACCAAAATTTTTTTTAGTGGCACGCCCCTGATTTCTTTAAAAAAATAATGATATTTGAATTTATTTATGAGCAGATTTGATCTCTTAATTTTTTTTAGTCCGTCTTACGGTTTTGACTGATAAATAAAAACTAATTTCTGTGCATGCTCTCATATTAACGATATTATTATGACCACGCCGAGAAGAGGTTTTTATTTTTTTAAGCGAAAATCGGATTGGAAAAAAACCTAGAAAATAAATTTCTTTAGCAATTATTGTAGCGTGTAAGAATAATTTTTATTTTAAGAGAAATCATAGTACATGTGTACCAAATATTATTAAAATGTCTATAGCGGTATTACTGATATTAAAAAAAATATATTTTATGTTCTTCTTGATGTAATCTGTATCAATATAAAAAATATATAAATATGGTAAACACCACCTAATTCAACTGTCAAACAATATCACCATGGCTTGCTATAAAAACAGTTATATTGGCTTAAATTGCATTATTGCGTTTTTTCTCTCTTAATTCATAGCTAAACAGTTCAAGATGCCTGTCATAATATGACAGCAAGCTGTAATTAAAATTTCAGATTTTTACTCCAAATGATTAAATTATAGTTAATTATTATGATGATAATAATTAACTTTTATATATAACATAGGGAGTTTCAAAATGTAAGTTGGTGTATGGTTCAAGTAAATCATATTCTGTCATATTTAGTACACAAAAATAAATTCCGTTAAGTTGTAAAAACCTGCCAATTATTATGCAATTATGGAACTGCCACTTAATGGCGTGACATGGATTTCATTTAGTCGGGGATACCAAACTAGGCTCTTTCAGATATCCCCAAAGTTTATAATGGGGTTGGATATTTCTAATATTCTCATTTCGATTAAAACAAAATCGACGAAGTACTACGTCTGAAAGATATACTTTTGTAATGTTTTCCGACAAAAGTATTTTTTACATTATCTTTCTGAGATTTGGTAAATGCATTCTGTGCATCAAGAGGCATTCTCAAGTCCAAGGAGGTCACCGTTATTTTTTCAGGCGAATGTTTTATTTAGACAGTCTAACCATTTCTGCATAAAATTATGATTAAAATCATTAATTAATTAAATTACACTGACTAATAATTTTTGAACATGCAAATATAGTTAGCTCCTCAAAGTGTTTTCGTTAAGTATTTTTGTAGGTATTTTTTGTTACTATGAGTTCAAGAACTTGCCCTTCAGTATTGACAGAGATTAAGGCACACCTTGTATCATTTTGGTGATTATTACGAGGAGATTCGTATCAATATTATTCAAAGAACTGATGACAACATTAAAAGAATGTGCGATTTTCACTTGTACTTACACGGTATTTTATTCAACCTCATTAAGGAATTGACGCTTTAGCTTGAGTAGGATTTTTTTTTGTAACTGTAGTTGTGTATACACTGCTCGATACACTTGATGCTGCACTACTGACTTTTGTATTAATAACGTTATATCAGATTGATGATATTGTTTTTTTTATTTTTAAGTGTTGTTCTGTTTAAGATTAAAGTACCCTCAATATACATTTTAAGTTTCATGTAAACAATTTCAGGGTTGAAGAGCAACTTAAAGCGTCTCTAGCCAGACTTCAGATAAACTATGTAGATTTGTATCTGATCCATTTTCCAGTGGCTAGAATGGAAGCATCACCATATGAACCATCTCCGTTGTTACCAACTGATCATGTTGCTATTTGGAAGGTGTTGTGGTGTTTTAGATACACAACCAATCGTTTAACAAACTGTATTTTCTAGAAAATGGAGGAGCAAGTTGAAATGGGTCGTGCGAAAGCTATCGGAGTGTCCAACTTTACTCAAAATCAAATCGAAAAATTAATCAATAATTCGACAATTAAGCCTGCTTGCCTGCAATCGGAAATTCATTTGTATTTACAACAGGAACCCTTAGTAAGATTCTGTCACTCTAACGGATTGGCAGTGACCGCATATTCCCCTCTCGGTCATCCGGGAATCGGTGATTGGTTTAAACAAAATGGAATAGAGTATGTTCCTAATATCACATTAAAATACTTTTTACCGCATAATATTTTAGAAAAGAATTTCTGCCCGATGAGCTGAACGATCCGACTGTTCAACTGATCGCAAAAAAACATAATGTTACTAGTGCTCAAATATTGTTAAAATTCCAAATACAAAGAAATATAGTCGTGGTTCCATATACCTCGAAGCCAAGTAGAGTGAAAACAAATTTCGATTTGTTTAGTTTTTCTCTTGACGCCGCCGATATAAAAGCACTAATCGATTCGGATAAAGGAGAAAGGGCTCGAATTTTCGGGTTTGAAAACTTGAACGGGTAGATATAAAATAGCATATAAAAAAAGTTTTACTGAAATTATTTTGTGAGATTTTAGGGAAGACCATCCGGAATGGCCATTTCCAAAAACGAAGTAACAAAATTCGCATACAGCTTTGAAGAAAATTAAATAATAAAAATTTTAATTTTTTGTTTTATTCGGGTACAATACATAACCCAAGCCAGATTCTCAAAAATTTATCCCTCTTTTCACAGTAACTGTTAACTTCGTGAGTTCAACCACCAGACCCATAGGTTTCGACGTTTTTATATGAAACGGATATTTATTGCATAAGATTTGAATCATATATCAATCCAATCAAATTATTTAATTCTTGTTTGCCGATTCATACTTCTGAATTTCAATAAAAGCAGATTAGGCTAACGAAGAAATTGGTTAGTTTTGGTTAGTTTGCACAATTAATGTTTGTCATTGCAAACCTTTCGTGGGGTGCAGCCATTAACAAATAGGTGCAAAAAGAATCTAGACCGATAAACAAAACACCCTTTTAAGGTTGATTGATGATTGCGTTTTCTACTCAGTTTTATATTATTTTACTATTGTGTTATGTTAAAAGCAGTGGTACTATACATTATATTTAGTATTAAGCCATCTTTTTTCCATTGCATTCTTTTGGATCAAAAGAACACCTTACCTTATAGCACCTATCTTTCACTTTTATTGAAAGGAATTTCTAATATTAATGAAATAATAATTCAGAAAAAACAACCAATACGAGGGTTTCATACTAATTTAACCTTGAAGTAATTAGTTGACCTTTCACGAGCTTCTTAAAAGTAGTTGTCATTGTTAGTCCGAATTATCGATGCAAATTATAAAGATTTCGATATCTGTCATTGATTATGCAGACAAAGAGTAAAAATACAAATTAATTTTTTCACAAAAACACATGGTTAGTCACCCTATTCGGTAAGGATTATTGTGGCCAAAATACAAGGTTCTTAAACACTACTTTTGGGATGTGTCCCACTATGGCAACTTGTAAGTTAATTTAATATTATACAGATTGTCCTAATTCCCTCTTTACATCATAGCATTTTTAGATTCTACGATCAAAATAAGTGTGGTACCTAAACCTTAAGGTTTTTAAAATAATTCGAGTTTTGTGAAAATGTAATCTAATATCTCAAAATATTAACATTTTGTAAGCAAAATTTACAATACAATTTAACAAAATCATATTTTATATCTCAATTATAAACAGCTTCCTATGTTTTAAATGGTGGCCAAAAATTTGTCCTAAAGTTGCTATTAGATTAGGACACATTTTTGCCACCCTGTATAAGATGGTAAGCCTTTTATAACTCAGATATGGTCTATGAGTACGCAGTACTGTAGATTTCGCTGACATACCGTAAACGCTTTTTCTGTATTTAAAAAATTAAAATTAGGTTAAATTTTTACAATCTTCAAATTGTATGAAAAACCTTAAGTTTAGCGATCATAAACATTAGTGACATATACTTATTTTCGTCTTAGATCCCAAAAATGCTATAATATACAGGGTGTTCGTTTTAAAACATACTACTCTGGTATTTTTTAACACTTTTCGGATAACTTTTATAAAATGAAAATAATTTTAAATGAGCTTTATTCATACCAAAAATGAAACTTTTTGAAAACTTTGAATTTTGACCACAATATCCCTTGCAGCATAGCGTGAATAGTGCGCATCATTAAAAAAAATATATAATAAATAATATTTTATTTAGCGATTCAGATATCTGAATTTTGGTGTAGGAAAGAACTGACTTCACCACTGGAATCTACGAAAAAAAAAACAATATAATCCGGTTTTAGGTGTTTAATCCGAAAAATAAGGTGGTACAAGAGAGACATGAAAATGCAATATTTCCAATTTTGCTCTGATCAAGGCTACCGGCAGCCACAATTTAGCAGATGCTGTTGCGCAAAAATGCGACCTAAAAGTAAGCTGAACTGCAGTTTACAAAATTGGTTGCTTAGTATATTAGTAAGTTCGTACATTCTTTCGATTTTACGTAACACTTTCTAAAATAGTAGTAGCAATTACTTGACTTCGAAACATAGAAAATAAAATTGTATCTGTCGGCGTACCTATAAACCCGATAATTATAAAGAACATTCTTTGGCGACGTGTTCGTTATATTTTTTCTGATAAAACGCGCACTTAAGATCGCAACACATTGCTGTTTGGCCTGTTTTTCAAATAGTCATAATTAAAAAAATATTTTATAGGGTCACCGAAATCGGTAGTATCCATTGTTGTGAGATAAAAATATACTTGCTCGTCTTATCAGCTGTTAGTACCTAATCTACAAATTTGTAAATCTTTGACAAGGTGAATGTACCGTTGGACTCTTATAAATACCACTGCGTTTGGCAATGTTTAATGATCAGATTATCAATTGTTAGCAAGTTAGTGACGTTAAGTAAAGCAGAGCAAGCCGAATAAAAAATGAAATGCCAAAGTGTTACCTTGAATGGAGGATTTAAAATGCCAATCGTAGGATTCGGTTCCGGTGGGGTAAGTAACTAATAGCGACGTAGCAGTACTTCCACATCTCAGATAGGGCGAGTTTCATAGAAATTGAAAACAAACGCTTTTTGTCATTTTAGACAGCCTACGTCTAGTGCGCTCGTCAATTATAAAGCAGATAATTTTACTTTCTTGGTGAATTGAAAGTTAGTTTAGTTCGTTGGTCGCCCGAGCTCTCCAAAATGTTTTTGAGGTGATAACGTCTGCTTTCAATAGCCTCTTTATTTAGATAAAAACGGCAGACCTAATGGAAGAAACCCTAAATACTGCACTTGAAGTGGGATACAGACACATAGATACAGCGACAGTATACGAAAACGAGCATCTCATTGGATCAGTACTTCAGAAGTGGTTTTCTGCAGGCAGACTGAAACGAGAGGATATTTTTATTACTACGAAACTGCCTAACTATGCGCTACAACCGGACAAGTGCGTAAAGACCTTTGGAGTTTCAATAATAATAGTTTTCACATTTTTTTTATAGTAATGTGGATCTTTTTTATCAAACACGAGTCTGAATCAGACTTTATTTTTCCAAAATAAAAATAAAAATGGTTATAAAGCAGGTATTACTTAGATTACTTAGATGTTTTGTTTTCTTTGCTTATTAATTCACTGAAACGTCCAGCAGTGCTTAGTGCTTTGTGGATATCAATGGAACCGTAAAGTGCAAAATGTGACATTTTCTTATAGAAAAAGTTGTTGCCCTCTTCACATTTTGTACAAACTCCATAAGGTTATATCTAAGGAAATCTTGAATTAGAGGTGTTCATGAAAAAAATTTTTCTTTACATTAACAAAATTATGTAGTTTTAGATAAAAGAAAAACAGGAAGGATGGACTTATCCCGTCAGGTAGCCGCTCCTGCCCAAGCAGCCAAACATTTTCACGTATCTAGTTATAGGCTATTACCAGATATTAATTATTATTTTGCTAAAAGAAAATCATGGTTTACATTTGCTTTCTAGGGAATTTAGTGATTCCAGTTATGTATATGTATATTATGTATATAAACTCCAAATTTTAAAAATTCACACTTTCCCCAAAAATTTACGTCTGGCGCTCTGTCCCCATATTGTATTATTTATTTGATAACTTTCAAAAGTCTTTTTTTCGAAAAACGCATTTATTATACTGGGTGTTCGGAAATTGAGTTTGGAAACTTGGAGGAAAGATTCAGCGTGGTAAAATAATGATAATAGGTCATGTAACAAAATATTTTCCGAGTAGCTTGTCAAAATTTATTTTTCTAAATATTATTTTTAACGCAGTGGGCTTAATTTTCAACGGAATAAGCTGGAATTTTTCACACGATCCTGATTTAGTAAAAGACATCGTCATAAAATAAAATTGTTTCAGAAATCTGTCACTAGAGGGCACTTTACGTAGAACATTTTTTTTATTTTCCCACATTTTATTTATTTAGACTGATATTACAAAAATAGAACAGATTCCTTTAAGCAGAATCACAAAATCCTCAAAAATTGTTACTCTTGTTTTAAGTCGATAAGTGTTATCGTTTAGCCACAAATTGACTTTTTTATTCTCGGCCCGAATTAGCAGAAAGGTGATACAGGATAACGCGATATGCCTTTTTGTTACGGAAAATCAAGTGCAAATATTATTATTAACCTACAGGCGACGTACATTCAATTTTTCAAAACAGTATGCTAAAAATTAAAAAAGTGAAAAAATGGCATAAGTCAATGCAATAACATGTTAAGTTTAAGTAACATAAATACATTTAACATTTTCGTAAATAAAAATTTAATAATAATCTAAACATTTTCTTATACATACACCTAACCTATTTATATTTATTGCGCAACCGTTTATTACTTTTTGTCTTAGATCGTTGATATCTGTTATAGCTGTTTCATGCACTAAAGACTTTAAATCCTCCAAAAAAAGAAGTCCATATGCCCCCATCGATGTTCAAATGCCTGATTTTAATACCTTGGCATAGCCAATGTAAAATGGGGTGGAACACCATCTTGCATTAACCACATGTTTTGTCTCCACTTCAAAGGTGGTAGTTCCTCCTGAAGAAATTGCAAATACATTTCTCCATTAAGCGATCCGTTAAATAAATGAGATCCTATAAGATTATCTGCTATAATCCCTATTCATACAATTAATGAACACCGTCGCTGATCTTTTCTTTCAATTTTTGCATTTAGGTTTTCAATATTCCACTGATGCATATATCGGTAATTTACAATGCCATCCAACTAAATGCAGCCTCGTCAGTGAACAAAATGACATTTAAGAATTGCGGGTAACTTTGAATTTTTCCTAAAATTTGATTGCATAAAATTACTCTCAATTGCTCATCCCTCTCATATAGTGCTTGCAGAACTTCCCAAACTTTCTTTCCTGAGTATCAAGTTTCTCGTACTCGTTGACGGGTCAGCCTCCACATTTTGAAGTAGTCTTTCCTCTGTTGCAGCGGTTCTTTTGTACCTTGGTGTCCCTTATTATCAGGTTTGAATGATCTTTCACCAAGTCTTCTGTGTATGTTGATGACTGGATGGAACGTTTCTATTTTGATAGGCCTCGATATAAAGCCGTCGTGCTTGATCTGCATTTCCATTTTCTACTCCGTAGCAAAAATGCATATCCCGAAATTCAGTATTTGAATATTCCTGATGGGCCACCACAGTAGCAGTTAGATAGTAACCTATTTGAATAGAAACTAATTTTTAACGAATTGTGACAATGACTTTTTCAAACTTCATTAAGTTCTGTTAAGTAAAATCAAATTTACTTAAAACAAGACTAACAATTTTTGAGGATTTGTAATTCTGCTTAAGGCTAAATCAGAGCTGTACGTAAAATACCAGCTTATTCCGTTATTAAGCTCACTGCGTTAAAAATAAAATTTTAGAAAATGAATTTTGAAAAGTTATAACTCGAAAAATATTACGATTTCGAATTTTTGTTACATGACTTACTGCCATTAATTTAACTCGAAGTTTCCGAACTCAATTTACGAACACCCTGTATATTCTAAACTGAGGATACTAGGCACCAAGTTTAGGAGATAGGGCTTTCAAAGTTTTATTCTGAATTTTCTCATTAATTTCCAGTTTTAGGTTTTTTTGACGTTACAACTACAAACTTCACCGTATTATATATACATCGATTCATATTTTATTATCTGCGAGTTATGGTAGAAGCATGATGAAAATTTGAAAAAATGATCGATTTTTCTTAGAAAAAGTGCTCCTGTTTACAAGACACACACTGAAGTAAAAAATTCTTTAACTATTCTAAATGTGACCTCGATTTTCCATACACTCTAATTGTATGATGTCTTGCATTTAGTAACGTTTCCAGATTGTCTCTTAACTAATTGATTGCGCCTGAAATCCTTTGCCGAAGTTTCACGACATTATTACAAGGAGATCTGTGCACGTGATTTTGTCCCCAAAAAAAAAATGCATTAAAGTTCAGTCAGGGTTGTTAGCTAGTTACGCAAAACATAAACTGCAAATGCAAATATTTATATTCTTTCAAAACTGAGTGGATTGATCCCCGAGAAATACCTGTCTCATATACTCTAGTAATAGAGTATAATTTCTGTGCCAGCCTTGGATACATCTGTTTGAAAGGAGCTCGGCCCTCGGGATAAAGTCTAATATACTTACGACGAGCCGAGTTTGCAGTTTTATTATTCAGAAAGTATACTTGAAGCATATCACTCCTTTCACGGATGCTAAATTCACGAAAAACAATTTTAACAATAATCACTTGGACAATAATTCAACCATCAACGTTGTTTACTAATATGTCAAACATAATCCTTTTTTTTTTGTTAGTCAGGCCACTCTTTGAAATTTTATAAAAATTTCCTATATTCGCTGATTTGTCAAAAACGAGTGAGCTAAAATATAAAGTGTGTTACATCATTGTAATCGGAATAAGATATTCTATTAAACACATATATAATATACAGGGTGTTCGATTTAAAAAAATATGATATAGGCTTATATGTCAGAAAATTGATAGTGTTTTGTTTTGTACGTCACTTGGAAAAAAAAACGGTACAGGGAGCTATAAGAAGCCAATATTGACTTACTTCTAGAGAATGTGTCACGTGTCTTAAAAGGAAATATGTGGTATATGCTTGATGGGGCGCCAATACATTTTGCGATGCCAGTGGAACGATATTTACGATATTGTTTCCTGATCGGTAGATTGGCCATGAAAGTGAAGATGTTCGAGCACCAAGGGGGCTTAAACTCTCTGGATTTCTCAATATATTTGAAGGATTTGGTATATGCTGAAGAAGCTATTTCCTTGCTGGAGTTACGAGGAGCCGCGAATATCCTTGGAAATAATGGAGAAGTTTTGTTTTGCAAAAACTGTCATTGTTAAATCTTGTTTTCTTATTGCTCCCCGTACTTTGTCATTTTGTCATTCTTTAAATATTTTAAATGAAACTATGTCAAAAGCCGTTTCACTTCCAAAAAAAATTGAACATTCTTCTAAACTTTCATCATGTTTCAATCGTTATTCGATAAATAAAAAAACGCGATTTACCTAAATAATATGGTGAAACTAGCGCCTTCTGGGGGCACTTCAAAATAAATTTAAAATTCATTATTGTCATATACAAAAACTGAAAACTGGCAATTTTTATAATTATACTATAAAATTCTTTATTGAATTATTGAAAAATTTCAGAATATATTTAAAACTTTGAAAACAGGGGGAACATTTGTATGAAGCGTGTTCAGCTCAATCTTAATGTTTTGATGTTTAGTTTTGTCCGTTTCTGAGGTCATCCATTCCTTATGAATTACGCCACCTATATTTATAATTTAATTTTTTTCGTTAAAGTCAGAAGACCAATGTGGTTCTAAACTGGATTTGCTGACTTTTCTTATCTTTTACTAGTTTACTGCTTATCAAACGCCATTAAACACCACATCATGTGTTTTAATATTTATTTTGCATTGCATTCAAAAATTTTACTGTCTGAAATACTTTACTACAATAAACAACTGTTTGCTTAACGACTTGGCAAGGTTTCTTCAGGTTCATAATTAGGCAGGATGAGAATTAGGAATAAAAAATGGCTGGCTTTCCATCTATCATATTAGGGTATAATTTTCTATCATTTTGAGGGCACGCGAATAATAAGTTATATATGCGCAAGAAAAATTATGAGCGACGCTCTCGAGCATTTTTCTTAAAATCCAATACCTGATTTTTAAATGAATTTGTTCCATATTTCTGCTGTCTACTGTATATATTACTTGAAATAATTTCAGGGTTGAAGAGTTCCTTAGAGCGTCTCTAGCTAAGCTCCAAGTAAACTATGTAGATTTGTATTTGATCCATTTTCCTGTAGCTAGAGTAGAAACAGCACCAAACGAACCATGTTCGTTGTTGCCAACTGACCATATTGCTGTTTGGAAGGTGCTGTGGTATGTCGCATATCAAACCGATATATTTGGCCAACTGTATGTTCTAGAAAATGGAGGAACAAGTTGAACTAGGTCGTGCAAAAGCTATCGGGGTCTCCAACTTTAGCCAAAGGCAAATCGAGAGATTAATCAATAATTCTACCATTAAGCCTGCTTGCTTGCAATCGGAAATTCATTTGTATTTACAACAGGAATCATTAGTAAATTTTTGTCACTCCAACGGATTGGTAGTGACTGCATATTCCCCTCTCGGTCATCCAGGAATCGGCGATTGGTTAAAGAAACGTGGAATGGAGTATGTTCTGTACCACAATGATGTTCTCTTTACCGCATTATGTTTTAGAAAAGATTATCTACCTGACGAGTTGAGCGATCCGACTGTTCAACAAATTGCAAAGAAACACAACATTACTACTGCCCAAGTGTTGTTAAAATTCCAAATACAAAAAAATATTGTGGTGGTACCAAAAAGTTCGAAACCGAATCGACTTAGAACTAACTTCGATCTATTTAGTTTTTCCCTTGATGACGGTGATATAAAAGCACTAGCTGATTTGGATAAAGGAGAAAGAGCTCGAATTTTCGAATATAAAAACTTGAACGGGTAGTATAAAATATTATGTAATTCATTTCGACTGAAGCTCATGTGTGCGATTTCAGGGAGGACCATCCTGAATGGCCATTTCCCAAAAGGAGGTAACTTTCACATTCAATTTTAAATAAAAAGAAACAAAATTCTACTAGCCGTTTTTATTAGTTTTAAATAACAAAGTCAAATCCTCAAAAAATGGTCCTTACTTTATAGTAACTTTAGCATAGTAACTGTATAAGCTTAATTAGTAACATTCTTTGAGGTTTAGTGAATGCTAATGCTATAGGTATCTATAATACCTTCAATACGGATAACAATACCCACGAACTTTTCGTAATAACTGCGTTGGTTTCGTTAAAGCATATGGAATATAGAAATAGTATACGCAAACATTAACAGAAGTGAGAGGGACCCTAAAGTGAAGACGATAAAGTATTTAGATCCAAGATCATTAAGCTGGCAAGGCCCAAGGCTTTTAGTAAACTATGTAATGCATTTGGCTTTTCTAAGATCCGTTGTTTTTGGAGTCATAACGGATAACGGATGCATATTAAATTGATATGGAAGGTCATATGTTTTAGGATTTGCTTAATTTTTCCACTCTTTCATGAAACGCCAGTATAATTAAATATATTTTTATTGTATCCAAACTTATGCAATACTCATTAAAATATTTTCTCAAAATTGTAATAAATAATGAAGTAGTATTTTTCCGCACTATTGACTCCCGTTATTTGGCACAGTGACTTGAGCAAGACTTAGGACTGTTTCTGTCATGAGCTTTTATCTGCCGAATTGAAAAGATATACAAATCGGCATACAGATTTCACTCATACTGGGTAGTATTTATCATGTCGAAAATAGAGTGTTGAGTACCAAGGAGAGAAAGGTAAATAGCCAACGCACTGGAGTGCTACACGGCTCAGTTTTGGGGCTACTGCCTTTCCTTATATATATACCTTTGTGACCTTAGTAGTGATAGTAGTAGTAGTAGTAGTAATGAAAAATGTATAATAAAAATTCTGGTAAACATAATTATCATAGCAGGTTTGGCACTAATTTGCCAAAACCTTGCCTTAACTTGAAAATGTTTATCTACAAACGTCTTCATATTGACTTAGTTAATCTTGACTGTTTCACTTTCACAGTCTCTACTATATTGTCTCCAGGGTAATATTACTTAAAAGTGCATATAGAATCATAAGCTTTTAAGAAGCAAACCTGAACTTTTCGGAATAAGGAAGAATATATTCCTGAAACTTCTGCATTTTAATTGAAAAACAAAATAATAAGACATAATTTTACTTATCATATTTTTACCAAAATTACGTTTTTAAGTGCTTAAAGCGAGGGTGCTTCAGTTTCAGTTTCAGTTTTAGGAAAGGCAAAATATATAATTTTTCGATCCAGTTTTCGTGCCAAAGAAAACTACTTCCTGCTAGGGAATTTACAGAATTTTTGAATTAATTTCTCAAAGAAACATCCACTTCCTACTGTAACATTGTTTTCAAAACTTCTGGTTTTCTACTGCGTCGGTTTTTGTTGAGTCGAGCTAACGTTTCGCCAATTATCCTGTTGGCTTCTTCAGAGCTTAACTGAAACTGACTCGCATTTTACTCTGTACTTGCTAATATATTGTTCGAGGGGGCGGAGCTAAAAGAGGGGCATAAACGTCGTCTCGGTTGAGTGATTCCCATATTGCACCAGAGTTGCCGTAAAGATTATTTCTCGGATTTTTCGTTGGTAGAAGAATTGATTGTATGCAAGAATTTTAGTTTTATCTGGTTTCGTGATTGTATTCGGCGACTGCTAATTTTATTTGGCTTAGTATTCGGGCTCTTTCATATTCTCGGGCAGAGAAGCAGCAAGTTCGACTCAACAACCGAAGCAGGAGGAATCCAGAAATTTTGTAAATAGTAATTTTGAGCTGTTATAATATTTAATTAGACATTTTCATAATAAGGTTTTGCTATTATAAAACGTATTTATGATTTATAAAGGTAACGGTAACTTGCAAATATATTTATCCCAGCCCGCCTTTGACTCACTAAGTCAGAACACCCTGTATTACCTTTTTACAAAATTGTAAGAATTGAATAACGAACGAACTTCACTTACGCATAAATGACTCCTAGAGCATTTAACTGCAAATATTATCCGGAAATAAACGTTCGGCCCTTTAATGGAATGGAAATAAACGCTCTTGCAGGACTTAGCCCGATGCGATGGAAAGTTTCTCGTAGTGCGCTGCCCACACTTTTATAATTTAAATTACATTCCCCGATACGACACGGATCATTACGTCCGGCGTTCCTGCGAATAAATAAATGCCGCACTCGGCGAAGTTATGTAATCCTGCCTAATGCATTTGCTTTTTTTTTTAAGAAATTACATGGGGGAGCATTTTTTTTTTCGTAATTTTTTCTCTTTACGTTAAAGCATTAGCGTATTGTCCTAATCCCACAAAACCGTATTTCTCTGAAAAATCTTACTGTACCGAGCTATAAAGCAAAAATGTTCTTTTTTTAAATTATCATTACTTTTGCATAAACATTATTTCTACGTTTAATTTCTAAAAAGCGCTTCACGTCACAGATTCATTTGTTTTTAATATTGTCGCCAAAATACAAGATCTTCAACAATTTTTCCTTTTAGGATGTGTAAAGTTCGATTATGATAATTTTCATAATATTCAGCGTACAGATTGTGGCAAAAGTGTTAAACGTACCAAAGTTGTATTTAAAAAAAAAGAACCGCCTGCATATGGCTAAAACAAGTGTGTGTTTCACTAATTTATGATTGCACAAATGGTTTTTCAAATAATGTTAATTTTGTCAAAATATAACATAATTTTCAATTCTCAAATACATAAGTAGTATTTAAGGTATATGGGCAAACTATACAGTAAAGTGTAACCATAGACCATATTTTATGTTTCAATTGGTATATAGAATGGTCAAAATTTAACAACAACTTTAGGTGGCTATAACTTGATTAAATGAAATGTACGTTTTAATTATCTATCGAACGGTTTAGAATGTTCTCTTCGCATTTTCTCAGAATATAGGAAATTATTAGAATCTTAGAATTTAGATCACTCAATATTGGTGGCATTTGAGAAATATTAAGTAGGTACATATATACAAAACTCAAATTACTTAAAAAACTTTATTGAAACATACATTTTTTTATCAGATAATCGAAAAATTCTGCAAAATAAAGAGGTTTCCATTATAAAAAATACCACTTATGACAACCTGTATTATTATGACAAATTTTTTAACAAATAACCATAATACTTCACATATTCCAAAAGTAAAACTTTTCGAAAACCTTTTATTTTGGCAACAATATTCAATTCAACTTGATAGGATCGGGCTTCACCCTTAAAGTAGTTTCTAAGTTAAATTTAAGTGAATAAAAAATATTGCATTTATTTTTATTTTATTTTGTTTTATTTTTATTTTATTTTGTTTTATTCAAAAATTTAAAAGCTTAACATTGTAGCTACCTTTGAATAGAAGAAGCGATACTAAAAATATTTTAAGTCGATAGACAAGGTCCAAAAATATAAATGACCAAATTTTCAGCAAATTCTCACCTCCTGTTTTGCCAAAACGTTAGAATTTTTATCCATTGCGGGATACCCTGTACATTAAGAAGGAACCTGTGGTACAATTTTTGCTTACGCTGAACCTTATATTCTTTTATTTTCTTATTCCTTCTTATTTTTTGTCTTCCGATTGATTGGATTGGTTGAATTGGTTTTTCAGTGCCGGATAGACGTGTTTTTAGTGGTTCCGGAAGTCAATGAATTGTAACCAACTAATGAGATGATACGAGTAAGGCTTCTCTCAGAGTGGATGCGGATATGTGCAAATGTTAAAAACCCGCGGAACCATATAGATGTAGATGTAGATGCATTGCATTGCATTGCATACAGCAGTTAAAATATCTGGTCGTGATTTATAGTTTGCGTTATTTCTAATTACTACTTGTTCAAATGAGTATATAACGTTTAAATAAATACAACTTGGCAAAGAACGTACCTGGCAAATTCATTATTTCGAAAACTTCATGTCACAAGGACGTTTGAAAATTATGGTGGTAATAATTTGGTTGCCGCTGATTCCATAAATATTTTCGCTTTCGTGCTAAATCAGTTAGCTTTTCAAAGTCCATTTTTTTCATTTTTTTTTTAAAGAGGAATCGCGCAGGAAAACTGCGAACAATGGCCAATATCCCAACCAAATAAAATCTGTTCGCAAGTCGCAAATATACGCAAGTCTACGAGCAATCTGAAGATGAATAGCTGAGATCGTTCGCGCGAAGACCTGCGTTTATGCCAGTTCTACAATTCGCGTATTTACGCTTCCACTGTGAGAGAAGCATAAGCGTTATAGATTAAGCAATTTTAATATAATTAGTTTCCAACAAACGCCGAAATACGCTCTCAAATACGCTACAAAAATTGCTAACAGGGTGTCACGAAGAATATTCTCTGTGTAATATATTTTGAAAAATTAACTCAATAGAGTCGAAAATTGATATATTGGAAAAGGAAGTATTTAAAGTCAAAGGAGAGTGACTTATAACAAGACTATAAATTCAAACAATTAGAAATGTATGGATTTCCTGAAAGTAAAAGTAAGAAATTAAGAGTAAGTTACTCAAATATGCGAGAGCTAACTTAATCTTAAAGACCGCCCGCCGGAAAGTCTATAGCATAACTAACCTAACCAAATAAATCTAATAAGAATAGAGCAATTGTAACATTCGAGAGTTCAGCCTAACGAAAACTGTTTATCTGAACAAAAAGAAGCTCAAGGGAAGCGAGATAGTTAGAGGTGAAGAACTGACAAACACCAAGCATGAACCTCTTCTTTTAGCTAAGAAAAGGTTGGGAAGAGAAAAGGTATAGACATCTATTGGCAAAGATATCAAGGGCATGAAGGTTTGGATGTGACTCTTTTTCATATAGGTACTATGTTCATTATTTAAATAAATTTGAATACCTGAGGTTCCCCTAATTGCCCTGTTAATAAAGAATATTAAAATTGCTTACCTTAATATATTTTACTGATATTGTTGCGCAGGAATAATATTGTTAATATTCCCGGATACCGTACTTTTGGATCAGACAGACAGTCTTGGGGGGTGGGGGTGTAGCTTTTTTTATGTGTGCCATTCTTTTGGACTAAAATAACTATTTTTAATTGTCGGGGTGATATACAGCCCACCGTAATATTCGTGTATTTGTTTAAATCACTTTGAGAAAAGTCTGGCTGATTCTCAACCTTTTCAAACTGTTTGCGGCGGCGACATAAATTTAAACATTTTGGATACATCTAACCATTATAAAAAATTATTCTACGACTACATTGCATCTTTAAACTTACAGCAAATAGTTTGAGAACCCACTAAACTAACTAGTACGTTATTAGACTTTATAGAATGAAGAAG